TTCATACATTTCCTCCACCTCCTCATCGGGGTGTGCCGAGGTTGGTGCGTAAACCTCTATGACCTTCAACGAATACCGTTTGGTGTCATCATAATATCACATCCGCTACAATTTTCATATTTGTAGCGGTTGTGATTAAAAGAATTGAATTTAATCTACTCCTTTAAATGCTGCTGCATATGTTTTATAAATATATTTAATCACTGTGTTTTGTTGTTGCACGGAAAATTGAAATTGAATTATGTGCCCTTTTGAATGCTTGTGCTTATGCTTTGTAATTGTTTTTGATTGTTGCGTCTGTTTTGCTGAAAGGAAAATTTTGATTCATTTGAGGTTGAATGACGCGCTGTTTGGAAATTGGTGTATGTTTTGTGATTGTGTTTAATCATTTTGCTTGTGGAAGGGAAGGCTCAAATTGGATAACCCTATTTGTGCCGAACGGAGTAAGAGTCACTTCTCTTTTGGTTTACATTTTGTTGGCACTGTCTAATATATTTAAACGAGAAATAGGGCTGTCTCTTGCGTTTATTGTTTTGTTTAATTTGTCAAGTTGACCTATGTGCATCGGTGATTAATTTGGTTGAATTGATTCTGTAGTTGAACATCGATGCTTTTGAAAAATTAGTTGAAATATGAGCATAGGCCTACTTGTCTAACAGACTGGCTAGTTTGTATATTATCAGATGGAGATCAGCTGTCGCACCATTTGGTAAATGATTATATGGTGGATGGCTTGGTTATGCCTACTTGTTTGAAAATTCAAACTAGGGACTATCTATGCGTTTCGTTCGGCTCTCCACAGACGACGTTCATGGGGAATTTGTGGGTGCTCTCTGCACTGAAGCTTAGGAGGTCACTCTGGGCCGCTTCGTGTCGCGTCGCTGTTTGCAGACCTGATCCGGTCGGATTGCGGAACTAATCATAGGGGCACAGATAGGTGTTTGAAGGAGGTCGTTGGACTTCTGTCTAGGAAAAGGACTTGTTTATGTGCTGCGATATCCAGGAAGGGCATCCAGTTCAACCCTCCGGCTTGCCCACGTTGGGGCTCTAATTTTAAGGCGTTGGTTAGGGTTGCAAGATCTGATGGGGTACCTAAGGTGGCCTAAGGGTTGGTTGTAGATTCGGTCTTGCAACTTGCCGTCGCGACCCTGTCCCGCCGACCGGTTTGCTCGCGGACCTAGATCCTTACTTCCGGGACGGGGGTTTGTTCGCGCCCGAACGCTGGTTTCGGGATTGACGCCTGAGGGCGCTCGGCTCGGCGCCATACCGGTTTTGACGTCGGTCGAGCGGTGGGTGTTGGGAACGCGCGAGGGCAAATAGTAGCCGTCTGCAAGCTGTGCTAACGTCAACACGCTGTCAATTTTTGTGCGGGAACGTGGAATAGTTTATGCGTCTAGTAAATATACTGTCTAGGATTTGTAACGCGTATTCCTTGTTTGATAGCCTTTCCAGGGACTTATTGTGTCTAACTCAGAATCTGTATAAGGGCATTCGACAATGTTAACTACTATTTTAGAAATAATTGTTGCCACGCGAAGCGGTAGTGAACATTGATCCAGACATTCGTATTCGTGCGGTGTGTTACGTTATTCCTTATAGTAACGGGATTTCATATAGACCGATACTCCGTGTTCGTTTTGTGTGTTAAGCTTTATAACAAACGAGAGTTAGTGGCTTCCTTAAGTAAGTTAATCGTACGATAGAGTTAATAGACTGTCATCGTGACGAACGAAGAAAGTGACTGTGGACTACTCCGCGGAAGATTACCCCAATTTGGAGCGGTGCTGAAGTCCGAGCTGCTGCCGACGGCAACGGTCTCATAAGGTCTACCACACTCAGTCACACACAGATACACATCACTGACCCTTACTTCCCAGGCACCATACAACCACATGCGACCTGACCGAACCCTGAGGGACCAGTCGCCTTGGATATAGGTAAGGTTCTCGGTTTTAATATTCTCCCTGTTGGATTGCAGTAGGATAGAACGCTCCCCCTGATTGTTTATTGTTATTAGAGATTTTCCACTTTGGCCTTTGGAGGCCCGACCTGCAGCTGCTTGTAAGGTCTTCCGCTATGGGCCTGGAAGATTCTACTCTTATTTAGGCAGCTGTAGGCCGTAACACAAATACTTGTTCCGTGCTGGATTCGAACACGCGGCCCCCAGCGCAACAACTGATTGCTAAGCCAATGCGCCACGGAGCCGTCTTTTGAAGGACCTAAAGGCGGAATTATACTTCTTTTTAAGTGGTGTTTACATCCCGAGACGTTAACGCGTCAGCCCAGGCTCGTTAGTACTCCTGCTTATAGGGTTATGCTATTTTACAGGAGCGACAAAAATATGGCTGGATTCTGCCTCCGATGGGCACCACAAAGGATAGAGTTAAAAGTTCCATACCCTGAAGTACCACATTAACAACAGAATCAGCAACAACTCTGGGATTTCCCGGCAAGAAGCAAACCCGCCCCCTAGAGTAGGATGCAAAAATATAAAAAAATGCGGCAGCCTGCAGAATGCAACTGCGACGTTTGTGTGATTAGCACCACACTCTGGTCAAGACAATGGTCCGACAAGCCTAAAGAAGCGTTGACGAAAACATGGTATTCGTCCGGATGAAAGGTCAGCAGAAGTTCCAACAGGGAAAGGGCATGATCTTCCACATCTGAAATCCGCGTGGGCAAAGTAGCAAGCTGTGTAATACTATAATCGGTTGAACGTGAACCAAGCCGTTCGGCGTGGTGGGCGTTAAAATCGTCAAGGATCACGATCTCTGTTGATTGGATCTGCTGTAGCAAGGAATCTGTAGCCATTTGGACGTGGTCGACGAGAGGGTATGTTTTGGCATTACCGCTATGGGATCTATAGAGGCACCCTTAGACGCGGGGATGGTCGTCGCTGTCTACGCGCAGCCATAGGATGGACAGGTCCGTACCTTCTAGACTGTAAATTTATTTTCACATACTGATTAAAAAGTTGGAAGCATCTAGTATATGAAAGACAATTTACATTTTTTTTTGTAAAATGATTGCATCGCGTGCCTTAAGCTCACAACTAACAACCACCATAAGTTGATATCTGACATATCAAAGCTACTAATATAATTTATTAGCTATTATAATTTTACTCTCTTTTATAGCATAAATAGATCATACCAACGTACCCAGTACCCAGTAGAATTTATCATCACCATTATTAAACCCACTTTATGCCGATAGTTACTGGGAACACTACGCTTAAAGTTGTTGACGAGTGTGTTTAACTAAGGCAAATAGTACGACTAATTCTAGTAAAATTGAATTAAGGTACACATTTTAATATTAATATAATTTTAAATACATATTTAATAAAATATTTTAGAGTCATCGTAGTTTAGGGGATAAGCACGTGCCTTAAAAATTAGTATAACACGAGAAAATCCCTATGCTCATTCCTGGCTTAAGTACGGAGTAATGTTGTTTAAGTAAGTAGCATCGATCTGCAATAGCTATTTATTACCAAGAAAAAGTGCGTTAGAATACTAGCCCAGATATATAACATTACAAGCTATAGACCATACTTCAAAGAACTAAATATTCTTACTTTACCCCGTATGTACATTTTTGATCTATGTCTGTTTGTTCATAAAAATAATAATATTTTCAAGAATTTTAAAGAGACACATAACATAAATGCACGTAACAAAAATAAATTATACATACCACAGTCGCGAACAAAAATGTTAAATGCCTCTACTATATGGCAATAAAAGATTATAATAAATTAGCCCAGGAAATAAAAAACATAGCAGAATTAATCAAATTTCAATCAAGCCTCAGTAAATATTTAAAGCAAAATCCCTTCTACTAAGTGGATGTATTAAGATAACAAAAACACTATAAGTATTATGTACACTATTATGTATTTTTATATTTATCTAGCTTCTAAGTATATTTTATTATGTATAAGCAGTGTCCTTGTCAAATTTGCAGTTTCTGAAAAAGGTGTCTAAGTCGTAAGCACATATTTTATTTAAGTCCAAAATGTACACTTGGATTGCAAATAATTGACTTGATTTAATTTGATTTAAAATCGTCATTTCAACATCACCCTCAACCTAGGTAGGAGCAGTAATTCTATATAAATTATATAAAAATATTTGTCTCGACGTTGAAACATTAATCACAATTGGCAATTACATTATTCGATCCATTACAGATTAACTAAACTCATTCCATATATCTTTCAAAAAATGCAACTGGCAGCCCTTTACTACATTAATAGAATTTATCTTTATTTAGCCCATTATTAGCCCTAAAATATTTGTCTCAATATTTTCAGTCGAATAATATTTTCCAAGGAATAAATATATCATATAAGGTAATTAAACTCTTTTTTAATATATTTAACCTAAAGTATATAATATCTACGTTTTAATGCATTATAATAAAGTAACAATACGACCTGAGGAGGGTCTAATAATACTGGAAGTTATATTAACTTTGCAACTCCATAATTATCAATTTGCTATTTATCAAGGACTTTGTTGCCTTTTAGTTACCTTTCAGTGCTCCAAACTTCATTGAATTGGAATACGTATTACTAACTATTCGTTTTTAGATTTTTCTCTACTACCTTATTATTTCAACTCGAAAAGACATCGATTTTAGCTACATTAGTGAAAATGCAAACAAACTTGTTCCGACGCAGTCAACGTCAACCATATCGTGATGTATACATATTTGTTTATTTTTTTAAGAATGTGTTTAAGTGAATATTTTTTTACCTGCTACTTTAATTACAGTTACTCCTAAATGAAAAATCAAAAATACGGGAATATAAGCATCATCTGTTTTTTTATTTTTATTTTAAAACTGTTTTTATTATTTTATGACCTTATATAATGGGTGTACTTTTATTGTTGTCGCCTACGTCCTGTGGTCCAACTTCTTTAGCAATATGCACTAAATGGAACCCAATCTCAATAACTTAAATATGTTATTTTCAGGATTATTTAAGGTCAATGTTAGCAATGTTTCACTGGGCACGTTGGTTGGGAATCGCTGGTTCTACTAGTAAATATTACTGGAAACTTTGGGGCATGGCATTGATATTCGTTTTAACAGTTGTTGAAATTGGTGCGATATGGAAAGTAATAAAAGCGCTCGCAGGTTGGGCGGCGAGCACGTCAGGGCATAGTAAGTACAATTACTTAATAAATGTATTATATTTAAAATGTTACGTATGATATAAGCCCTAATTTTGGGTATTAGTTAAAGTTTATATATAATAATTGAAATATAAACTTTAAATAATACATAAAATTCATAATATGAGTTAAAGCTTAGAAAATAATAAAACTGGCCAAAATTCATAAAACTATATTTATAACTATTCAATTTTGTTTTCTATTACAGGAAGCGTTACAGCACGTTTAGCAGGAGCTACGTTGTATGCGAATGCTGTGTTATCAATAATACTCTGCTGGAAATTGTCTAGTTCATGGCAAAGAATAGTAGATTTTTGGATAATATTAGATCGGGCAATGGTAACAAGTCGTATTCCAACAGACAAAAACTTAATGAAAAAATTTTCTGGAATCAAAAAATTTTTCATTTTTTGTGGTGTTGGTTAGTAAATTAAAAAAAAATTATTTATTTCTGATCCGAAGAAATAACTTAATTCAATTTACTTCTTTAGCTGAACATATGATGGGTATTATATCATTTGTTGGAGTTGATTGCCCACCATCGCTCTGGCTAGAAAAATATATTCTTATATCTCATGGATTTTTATTACGACCAGGTAAGTATCAAGCTAAAACCTAAGTTTTCTTCAACTCTCCAACTTTTTCTACTACAATACACAGTGGTAAGTGGTGCTTAAAATATATTCCCTCATTTATGAAGAAAAGTCTTCAACTGCTATGCAGTTATTTTTGTGATAGGAGTAATTTGAATGTGTTACAGATGAATATAATATTTGGTTTGGCATATCACTTATGATCCTGAGCATGGTTGCAACAATTTTGTGGAATTTGCAAGATTTACTTCTGATCCTTATCACGTTGGGCTTAGCTTCAAGATACCGAAGGCTTAATAAATACGTTGCCACAGTTTGTTCTCAGAACAAAAAGGAGATGGATAAATCAAATGTAAGGATGTTTTTTTTCTTGTTTGATCACTTCAAACAACAAATAATCTTATAAATATATTCCACAGCCCGAACCCATGAAAGTCCACTGCTGAACATGACGCTCTTCCGTTTAAGGAATGATTTGTCTCAATCCTCACGATTAGCTGGCGGATTGATAATCGCTATTCCAAACGACTCGCACCTTTGACACTTCTAACCGGCGTAAACATAGCGTTAACATTTTACACTGGCATTTTCATAATTCATAATTTTTTTTTTCATATATCCCCTTGCCGCCTCCATAAATTTTGTACAATTACGTGGTATAGCCATTCTGCAGCTTTATTATTATTGTACCACGAATAGGTCGGCTCGAGCGGGTATTTCCGCTGGTATTCTGTAAGAGTGTGGTGCTTTCACAGAGTCCCAGCGTAAAATGGCAGCACAATGCAGTTGTGCTGTAAATGTAAAAAACCGGAGGCCCTTTTTACTGGAAACGAGGCATTCCAACTTAGTCAGGGGTGGCAACGCATCTGTATTTTGATTCTTAATTAGGGATAAATGTAAATGTCTATGGGCCACAGCATTTACTTACGATCAGGTGAACCGTGTGCGCGTGTGCGTTATTAAAAAAAACAACGTATTAATATATTATTAATGTTTAAAAGTTAATTAATGTTAAAAGTGCCGCCGGGTTTCTTGCTGGTCCTTTCCAGAACACAGCTTTTTTCCGAACCAGCGGTAAAAGCATAAATGACTTTCAATAACTATTTACTAATATTAATATTAATATTAATATAACTAATTATTAGTATTGGAATAATGTATCTAATATAAATATAATATTACTGCCATACCGTCCATCAGATTGCGCTGAAACTTTGTCAAATTATTTCTTGTGCTTAGTACAATTAAATTACAGTAGCGTATCGTACCAACAAGTTGTTATTTGAAAGTTATATGTATATACATCGATATATATGTACTACGCACTAGATTTCGCTTTCCGAACATTGATTATGTTCAACTGAACTGTACTGCAATCCGTAAACTGCGTAAATTGAAGATTTGTGAATTCCATAAGGTAGTTTTTATTAAATTTTATTTAGAAATATGTTTGCTTAGATTAAAATAAGAGTATTTTATATTAAATTCTTATATTTTTATTTTATATTAATATATTATTTTATATTAAATTAAAGTCTTCGCCAATGCGCGATTCTACTATCTGCCGCGCATGCACGAAGACATAGAGTAGCGCACAATTTTTGTTTGGGATAGCTTCTCTAGTACGTAGTACATATTATAAATTAATGTGTATATATCATTCAATTTCAATGAATGTATTGTTATTGCTAATTAAACCATATTACTCTTCCAAATTTGAAAACGATATTTTCACAATGATTTTCACTGCGGCAGTAACGCGCCAGGATCAACTAGTATTGAATAAAATTATTCTATAATATTTAATTATAACTACTTCATAAATATGTAATATCATCAGAAATAAACGGAGGCTTATGTCCAGCAATCGGACGTATAAAGGTCTCTACTTCTTTCAAAGTTTTCGAAACTCGAATTTGTATAGTCCCAGACTCATAAAACTAGTGAACTTTTATATTTATTTTGTCAACGAATCTCTTTTGTATATTAAACTTTTAACACACTTATCGCTTAGAACTGATTCATACAGAATGTGTTTATAATATTTTTATTATAAATATACGCTCCTATGTTTTTACTAGCAAAGCAGTCCTATAAAAGATAAGTGGGGATTGAATCATATAAATGAAAATTATAGTTATGTGGCGTTAAATTAATATTTAAGCATTCAGATTAGGGCTATATGTATCTCCCTATTAGGGCTATATGTATCACCTGTATCTACGCTCATCGATCAGCCTGCCAAGCGTAGAGAATATGACCATATCTTCAAATTTTAATTTACTAGCTAGCGCACTCTTATCTACCAGTGGTATACTCGTGTATTTCCTAAAATACCTTATACAGTATATTATTCGTTGTAAAAATGTCGAAATATCTTATAGTTTCATGTTACAGGATCTGGATATTTTGCAAATGTACACGTGGCGTAAGATAAGGGAAGCATATGTTAAACAAGCGGCCCTCGTTCGTGAAGTTAACAATTTAGTCGGACCTCTAATACTTCTATCGAACTCATGCAATTTTTACTTCACATGTTTACATCTATTTTTGGGAATTACGTAAGTCACCTTTTACTCTGTTTCTCTAAAAATAAAATAATACAGCCCTATTGCATCCCATTGCTTTGCACAGACCTCTTCTAATTTCTGAGAGGGATAAAGGGAATTGACTGTGTTGCTGCTCAGTAAGTGTCGCGGATTACAAACGTCTTCGAATATTTTTTGCTGATTCTGTCACGATCTTCAATCTTGTTTTTCTTCAAATCTTCAAAAAATTGCAATAAATAAAGTTATTGTTGCTGGCAGGGATCGAACCGGGGTTGATCGCGTTTTACGGCGAGCGCTCAGGCCCTGAGATATCATGGCTCTTGTTTATGTAAACGATGAATGAATCTTCAAAATTTGCTTTTGAATGTTTTCTTTTATAAAAACGCTACCCCCAAACTAGGATTTTCTCCTGTATCGTGGAGGCAGTTTAGAAACACAAATTGCACATGGACAAACATCCAGACCAAGAGCAATTATTTGTTAGGCCATACAAATATTTGTTCCGTGCGGGATTCGAACTCGCGGCTCCCAGCGCAGCAACTTATTGCTAATTCACTGCGCCACGGAGCCGTGAGCGAATGATAAACACGGTTTGTTTTAACAACAAAAACATATTTTAACCGACTACAACTGAGCCCATAAAACAGTAATATATTTTGTGGTATTGTACATAATTATATATATGTTTAACTGCATTAATCTGCGTTCTTATATCAATCCACCGTTCCCAAATTAGATGTTGGATTTTGATAAATGATATCTCAATCGCTTTAACATAATTGCGTGGAGGGTAACATAGACGACATGACAACGCATAAAAAAAATATCGCTGACACGCACTGTCAAAAACACTCAATCTAGAAAACATTGATAAGAAAATATATCAATTATTGTATCATCACAAACGAAAGGTATTAAATAAGAATATTCCAAATTTAATAATAATATGTTTATGAAATTTATCTCATAATAATCGTTGGGTAGAACTTCTCGTTCTCTCGTTTTCTGCCTAGGAGTCTGTACAGGTAGTGAACATCCTCTTACCTACTTCTGCCTATAGCGGGGCCTGCACTGTTCCAATCTGAAGGCCAGTAGCGAATTGTGAGCCGGTATAACACAGGCTGTGAGGCACTCTATCTTAATCTTCAGAGGTGACAACGGATCTGTAGCTTTTCATGTTCGGAGTTGGCTTCAGTTGCAAATGGGCTGCAGTAGCTACTAACCATGAGATGGTTTGGAAGTTTGTTTATCTTTTTAGTTTCATAAAAAATCTAATCATAATTTTCTTGTTTACAGTCAAGGAATATCTGACACCAGTTTAGAACAAATATATTATTTGTTATCTTTCACGTGGTTGTGTATAAGAACATCACTGGTAGTACTTTCTGCTGCTGATGTAAATGTTTGTTCTAAGGATGCATTACCTTACTTATTTGAATACAACACGCAAACCTACAATTTAGAGGTAATCAATTATCAGTATACAATTTAATTAACTACTCACCATCCAGGTATTAATTTGTCTGAATGGTAATTAATGATTTGTTGCCGAGTGGTGACGGGGCTTCAATGGAGTTTTTCTTCTTTGTGAAAGTTTCTATCCTCAATATGAAAAATGCGCAGGTACAAAGTACAGATATCCGAACGGGTGACAGGCAGTGTCAAATGTGTGAAGTCTGGTCAACATGACAATTTTTCAAAAGCAGACAACAGCAAGGCCATGTAACCAGTTCACAGAATCATAATGATGCTGATAAAGAGATCTTCAAAGACATTAAAAAGAAGGAGTTTCTACATTCGTCTGTATTTTAAAATTTTGTATTTATTTGTACTAAAATTAGTTGTTACGTGATATTTTTGCCAATTGTTAACTGATTTTAATTTATTTTTTAAAAGGTTGCACCTCCAGGGTGGTCTAATTTAAAAAAGGAAATATACAGTTGAAGTTTAAAAATATTTTACGGTTAATGATTTATTTAACATGAACATTTTCAAACACAACTACTGTATAATATATATCATAAAAGTTTAATTTTTATAGCAAATAGATGACAAAAAACCAAAAGAATATTTTCTTTCGAGAAGAATTGATTTTTTATAACGCCATCTACTTCATTTAATAAAAAAGTTATTTTTTCGAACAATAATTGATTGAGTCTCAAGTTGGTACGTAAAATAGACGCTAGATGGTCTGAAGTTATGAAATCGTAGATTGTTGTATTAAGATAATTTAATTCAATATGGTTAATTTTTTTATTTCATAAATTTGTAATTTTTTTATTAAATACTCATGCCATAGGGCTTTTCACAAGTCCACTGCTGAACATAGGCCTCCCCTAAGGAATGCCACAAAGCAAGCCACCTACATTCACTGACTTAATGCATTTCTTGCCAGGTCGTCTCTCCATTTAGTGGGGGTCGCGCTACACTTCGCCTACTGGTACGAGGCTGCCACTCGAGAAAACATTTCCCCCATCAGTTGTCGGTTTTATGTGGTATATGAAAGGTCTGTTGCCACTTCAGCCTACTTATCCGTTAGGCTATGTCAGTCACTTTGATTCTACTGTGGATATCCTCTTTTGTAAGTTTATTACGCAGAAAAACTTCGAGCATTGCCCCCTCCATATCTCAATGAGCGACCTTGAGTTTCCTCATAGGGCCAGCAATGAAGGACCACGTTTCAGATCCATAAGTTATCACTACTGCTACACGCACTCGTTTTACAATGTCGATTTCATGTTTAGAGGTATACCTGACGATAAGATGTTTCGTAATTTTCCGAACGCTGCCCACCTGAGTTGAATACCTCTCGTTCGAAGTTGGATTTACTTAGTCTGACTATTTAACCCAGGTAAACATACTCGTTATCAACTTCTCATAGTCCACATATGAAAGCCAAAGTGGCAGAATCTACTCGTTGGTCTTCTTTTTTATTGCGGAAGGGTATGTAAGTGGTCTGGGGTACTAAAACCTTTTCGGAAACCGGCTTGTTAGGGAGGCTGGAAGTCGTCGAGTCTGCCTGCAAGACGATTCGTAATAACTCTCGAAAACACCACGTAGACGCGACTCAGAATGGAAATCGGTCTGTAGTTCTTCAAGAGAGACTTGTGGCCTCTCGTGAAGAATAGAATAGAATATAATAATTTTTTATTCAATATTGATTATTACATAATACTTATTGAAAGTCGTTTTTTATTTATCACTGGTTCAGAAAATACCTCTGTCCTGGGAAGAACCAGCAAGGAACCCAGCAGGACTTTTTTTTCAAACATAATTCACTTAACAATAATTTCGTTTATACAATTTTAAAATGATTTTTCATAGAACCAGCATGGTGGCGATCACCTTATTCCCAGGGCTTATTTTCATTCATGTATTCCTTGATATTATAATAACCCTTTTTGTACAGTTTTTCTTTAATAAAACTTTTAAACTTGTTTATTGACAAACTTTGAACATGTTCTGGGATTTTGTTGTAAAAGCGTATACATTGTCCCATAAATTAATTACTAATTCTGTGAAGTCTAGTAAGTGGCATTACAAGCTTATATTTATACCTAGTGTTTAAAGTATGCACATCCTTATTTTTATTAAAGCTATTTATGTTTTTATGTACATACATTTTATCTTCATAAATACATTGCGATGCCAAAGTTAATATGTTTATTTCTTTAAATTTTTGTCTGAGGGACTCTTTACAATTTAGGTTGTAAATCGAACGGCTCTCTTTTGCAAAACAAATATAGTTTCAAAATCAGTCGCATTACCTCATAGCAAAATTCCATAAGATATTACGCTATGAAAGTAATTAAAATACACTAATCTAGCTGTCTCAACATCTGTGAGACTTCTAATCTTTCTTACAGCATATGCTGCAGAACTAAGTCTGCTTGCTAATTTAGATATATGGGAGCCCCATTGAAGTTTCGCATCGCAAGACTCAACTCCTCCCCATTTAACACCACATTGGTATTCGAATGTTTTAAATTAGGTATTGTAAATTTAATACACTTTGTCTTATTGCCGTTCAAGAGCATATTATTGGCGTTAAACCAATATACCAATGTCGATAGAGCATTATTTACATCGTCATAATTAATTAACTGCCGTTTGAGTTTGAAAATTAAAGTGGTATCGTCAGCAAATAATACTATATCGTGATTGTCCCCTACAAGATAAGGTTAGTTATTAATATAGATTGAAAATAGGAATGGGCCAAGAATCAAGCCCGAGGAACGCCCATCAATACTACCAATCCAGAGGAACCTTTATCATTGATCACGATTTTTTGAATTCTGTTACTTAAATATGAAGTAAGGAGTCTAAGCGACAAATTTTTTACACCGTAATGTTGTAGTTTCCTGATTAATGTCTCATGATGAACACAATCGAAAGCCTTGTAAAGATCACAGAAAATACCTAAGGCATCTTGTGAATTATCCCAGGCATTAAAAATATATTTCATAAGCTAAACAAGAACACCGCACTTCTGCTACATGTCTCCGGAGTAGTCCTAATTAAAGAGCTTCTGAAGGACATCAAGTACCGGTTTTTCAATCAATCAATCAGATCAGGTTAGTCAATCAGAAGCCCCGCTGTAATTCTCGCAACTCTCGAAAACGCATCTATAGTATTCTGGGTGATGTTGGTTGCAGGTGTCCATGTCGATACTTACCATCAACGCACTGCGCGGCGTGGACTTTTACCTTATTTGTAACTCAATGCCATAAAATAATATTAACTAAAGCTTCATTATTGAATTTCAGATTTATAGACTTCAGTATCAGCTACGTAAAGACTTCGTTGCTCTAAGTGGAATGGGATTTTTCTTTCTTACTAAATCCTTGTTACTACAGGTAATATTTTTTATAACTATTTTTATAAAAATAACTGATAATGTGTATATCATCAGTATAAATATAATCTCCTGCGCATGTAATACGGTTGATATTATATAACTTCTAAAGACCGAATTTTGATCACGACGAGTCAGTAAGACTAACCACAATAGATTACAGTACCCGCGTGTATGCGTAAGCACAGGTACACTCTCGATTCCGTCAACCTTTTAGGCAGACGGAACAGCAATCCGGTGCGACAAGAGATAGATCAGGCGCAGGACTAATTGCCAATTTTCGAGCTGGTACTGAGAATTTTCTGACAGAAAATTGCGTGAACTGATTTTAGCAAGACCCGAGAACAACAATCGTGTTCACGATCATTAGACAAACCACGCAGTTTACATGATTGATGATATCAAATATGATATATAATATTCATTATATTGTATTGTATTGAGTTTCCTTTGGAATAGAGTACCATTGTTTGGACGGAATCTCTTAATTTTTCTTCATTTTTATCAACTTGTAAAAGTCCACTGCTTAACATGGGCCTCTTTGGTTGTAGGGATAGGATGAAATGAATATTCGCCCTAATTGTCATACTTCACAGGCTTATTTACAATCGTAATATCAAACGTTTCGCATCTTTGTTATGCTCTCCGTCGGCAGTTTGGATATTTTATGGCATTATTTGGAATCCATTGATATCCTTAATTATAAAGCAACCGTCGTTAACATTTTACAAATTCTCCAGGATGATTTAATTTCAATATTATGTTGTATTGAAACAGATAATTATTTGCTATTTTAGGATGTTTTGTTGTTGTTTACAGTGTGTGGTGTATTTACAAATTATTCTTAATAATTTCAGATGGGAGGTGCAGTCGTAACCTATGAGCTAGTGCTAATACAATTTGATAGCACTGATTATAACTTGACGAATACAACTGCGTATTAGTTATAAAAAGTTAAAATGAACTATAAACACTAAGTTAGCAGCATATCATATTCATTTTCACTGCAGGGCACAGGACATTATTTCATTCATTAATTATAGGTACACTTTAAAACATTTAATAATTGACTTTTAAATACAGCTTTGCGTGATAGACGAGCTATGATTAAATTATATTTTTGTTGCTAGTACGACCGTTGTCATTTATAAATATAAAAAGTAACAGAGAGACCTTACATTTAAAATATACAAAACGCACAAAAACATACATGCGTTACCGAAAAACATTTCCTCTATATAAATTTTCTTTTTTTCGTAAATCTTCAAATCTTCCTTATCCTTATTATATTATAAGTGTAAAAGTTCGTCTGTTTGGATGTTTATCTTTCAATAAAGCTCAATCAGCTGGAAGGATTTAAATTAAAAAATATGTATACGCAAATGAAATTTACATTTTAACCCTTAGCCACCTAACGTGTATTCTAGTAACACTTCCACCTTACGTCGGTCATGGTGACCGCTTGCATATAAGTACAATTATAAAGGTGAAAAAATCATAAATTGGCAAAAATCGAAACTACAAAAAAATTTTCAGTTGTTTTTATTTAAAATTGTTTCAATAAACTCTTCAAATTAATACTTTTTATTTCTTATTACTATTAAAAAAAATTGACTAACGAATATTTTAACAAATTATAGGTTTTCCGATTAAGCTGAGTTCTAAGCAATAACAATCAATGAGACTTCTTAGTTTTTAAATATTTTAGTAACTTAAATATGTAACCTCTTATATAAAACTATCATTGGTACAATTAAATCACAATCGTTACAAAATTACAACACCTAACATTCACAATTTCTCGCGGCAGCGTAGACACATTTTTTGAGAACACTCAACGCAAATTGGATTTTTGCACTGAAAACACAAATGAAATGTTTTACGTTTCTTCTTTGGGTCACACGTTGAACAAGTTTTGCGTGTTTTTAAATTATCAGAGCTGTCTGCCAAAGATGTTCTGGGTTCTTCATCTATTTTGAGAATCCGGCGAATAGCGTTCTGAATTTCCCTTTACAATCCAAACTGGTTCGTTCGACGTCGTAAATGGGGTGTAATAAGGTCTTCACCCAGTTGTTTCATGAAATTCAGTCTGAGCACCTTTCTCTGAGATTAGTTCGTGCTGCTGATGATGTACGCATTTGCTGCAGAAACATCCAGCTTTCTGTAGCAGACCGCCATTGGCCAGCGCTGTGTGCGTCGAGAAGTTGAGTAAAGGGCACATTCCTGATCTAATGTATCGACGCCACCTTTGGTGCTATTATAAAAAATCATTATTTCTGGCTTTTGCTTTTGTGGATCGATGGTTGGTGAGTGATGCATGCTGGAAAGAACAAGCACGGATTTGTTTTTTGGTACAAAAGATAGCAATGTTGCATCTGAATTCAAAAATCGAAGAGCTAACGTCCCGATGACGGCTAGGCATCTTTTCGAATTTTTTCGGCATGTACATTTTGAAGCTGCACCTCCCACGGAAAGCCACCAACATCTCGTCAATACAAGCGTAACTGCCAATTGAACAAACTTCTTTGCAGTTTTGTATCAGCTTTTCAAAAAGCTGAGATATAGGTGCAGCTTTATCAGTGCTACGGCGTTCATCTCTGGTACTCGCATCATCAAAACGAAGGCAATTCAGCCATTTTTCGAACCTGTATTTGCTTATTATACAACAATAAATCTCTCTTCCTGTACTATCTATGCTGTACCAACATGTGTAATGTGTGTGGTTCTTTTTGAAAATTGAGGTATAGTACAACATACCGATAAAAGCCTTCAGCTCAATTACGTCAAAGTCTTGAACACATGTCTGGTTTTGATAGTTAGGTCTTACCTTTCTAATTTTTTCGTTAGTATGCTTTACGATTTCTTCTAACATATCATCAGTAAAAAATAAATGCCGTAAATCGGATGATGTTGTATTACTGTTCAACACATCTCTGAAGTTCCTTTTCAATCCTGGAGGTTGCTGAACGATGTTGTGTTGCAAAGTCCTTGATCGCGAAACTGGAGGTTGAGACGACCAACGAAACCGATTTTTTCCGAAATAGTTCCGGTATCTTGACAATGGAACATCATCATCGGAAGATGCATCATCAACTGGCAGATCATTTGTATCGTCATATTCATTTAACTCTTCAACATCAATTTCAGAGTCTGATTGACACTCACCATCAATGACGTGGTCTAATGGTACATCTTCTACATCACTGCAGTCTTCATTTGGTAATTCCGATACGTCCCTTTCATCCTCGGAATCTAATTCACACGCTTCTAACCATCTAATGATATTTTTATCACGTTCAGACATGATAAACCTAAAAAACAACACGAAAATGTTAGCACTAAAAGTAACGTAACAACCTAACGTCTGTCACCATAACCACATGCGAAATATATTTACCTGTATTTTTTTATTGCGCGCACGTGTTGCTTGCTCGAGCGCAGGGCGAAAACTGGAGTGGAGAGGGCGGGGAAAAAGTACATATAGTCACAGGCGCTTTGCCCGTGTAATAACGGAAATATTTGAAAAAATATATCGCCTGGAGTCACTGTGACCGACGCTAGGTGGTTAAGGGTTAATTAAAACTAAAATGCATTTTATTTCTACCTGTAACCTTTCATTATACTCAGCTTCTCCACGTGGTCAATTTTTTTTGTATTAATTTGTTCTTCCTTTCCTTAATGGTACACTTCCGAACATATAATAATTTACTTTTAATGCAGCTTTCTGTGACAGTCTAATTGTGATTAAATCATTTTCTTTGTCACTCGTACGATCTGTAATTCATAAATGTAAAAAAGAAACAGGAAAACCTTACATTTAAAATATACAAAACATATCCTCGGTATAAACCTTTTTTTTTGTGAATCTTCCTTGTCCTTGTTATATAAAAGTGTAAAAGTATGTCTGTTTGAATGTTTATCTTTCAATCAAGCTCAATCAGCTGTAAGAAATAAAATAAAATTTGATATATAAGTAAATTTTATCACGAAATGGGACAAAGGATTTTTTATAACGCTTTGGAGATCAAGGTGGAGGGAGTATTACGTATATTTAGGCATAATTATGTTACGTTAATTTACTTAAAATAATGTAGCTTCAATTTTTAGCGGGGAAAAATATCTATAAGCAAATGAAAGTTATGTTTTAATTAAAACTGAAGTGCATTTTATTTCTACATGAAACGATTCATTAAGTTAAGCTTCTCCACGTGGTAAATTGTTTTTGTGTTAATTTTTACTTCCATTCGTTAATGATACAGTTCGGAACATTTAATAATTTTCTTTTAAATGCAGCTTTGCGTGATAGTCGAGCTGTAATTAAAACATCTTCTTTGTCACTCGTACGATCTGTAATTTATCAAAAACAAAAACTGAAAACGTCTAATTTAAAATATACAAAACATTTCCTGTATTTAAATCTTCTTTTTTTCGTAAATATTTCTTATTCTTTTTATATAATAAGTATAAAAGTTTGTCTGTTTGGATGTTTATCTTTCAATCAAGGTCAGTCAGCTGAAAGGATTTAAATAAAATTAGACTTCAAGCTTCAAGATCGTTTTCCCCTTTAATTTTTTAATAAAATACTTTTAAAATAATGATATATAATAATTATTAAAAAAATGCATGTTCTTATTCATTTTCAAGAGACTAGAAATATTTCACTGTTGAAAACTGCTCTGAAATTGTATTTTATTTGTCTGTCATAATATTAAAAAAAAGTTTAAATATATAAGACAAACTCAAAGTTTCAGAACGATTACGTCACATAGACCGAATAATTAATAGAATCAGGTGATACTTTGTAGAAATCCATTATATTAACATAATATAACATGGACCGAAGTTTAGAATACTATTTATCACATTTTGCAATGTCGTGTGATTTATTGAATACTTTTATTTTGATAAAACTTAAATAAACAGAGCTGTATCACGTTATAAAGTTGTTTTCTACTTACGAATACCTTAAATTGTTAAAACTGTTGTGTATGTATTTCTTAATACGACTTAAATATTTACTACCTAATTAAATATGTATAAATAACCAAACGCATAAATGTCAGTGTCAAATATAAAACGGACGTATAATTTTCGACACTGAAAAACAACATCTTTAGTACTTAAAATTTCTTTGGTCTCGCGTGAAATTTAATTTATACAAAACTGGAAGCAAAAAGCATGTATTTAGTCCGGTTGAGAAGAAACGCTTTCTCGGCATTTAAAAAAAATATAGGGCATATTGCATCCTGGCGTAAAATATCGTTATTGTACTCAATTTCGTCGTAATAATTAATTTTTCTCAAAATATTTTCCATTTTCATGTCAACAATCACGATCTCAAGTCACGGACTGCCTCCACTCAGATTTTGCATCTCGAGTACATACATTTGAGAGGCGAGTTTAGTTTATTAACCAGAGCGTCACTCAGAGCTGATATCGTAAACCTAAGCCTTATCTTAAGGTATGTTTATTAATAAGATCATAACCTCAAGATTGTACTCAAGTGAGTGTACTTGAGCTGAGTAACGTTAATTAATACGGGCCTTAAAATATGGTTTTCTAATGCACTATACCACCTTTTATTGACATTTTTGCTCCTCGCTTCATCTTCATTCATTAGCATAATTGCTTTGCAAATGTGAGACTTAAATTTTGAATATACAAGGGTCTTACACTGGAATTTATTACGCTGACTTGTTTCTTATGTAAAAAATAGAACCCAAGAGGTTGTGGTCAATGTCTTTTCTTTGTATGTGATAGATGTAACATCTAGAGTGCCCCAGGGATCAATTTTGGGGCAGTTGCTTTTAGTTCTCTTCATAAATAAAATTAATACCTGCTTCAAAAACACCCATTTCCTCTTATACGCTGACGACCTTAAAATTTTTCGGAAAATAAATACAACTGAAGATTGTAATAAATTGCAAACTGATCTAGGTCGCTT